CACGGTGCTGCGCGGCCAGACGGCGTCCGCTCTGTCCCGCGCTCAGGGCGGAGGAAGTGCCTAGTTGTTAGCGAGATGCTTGGGGAGACGGGGAGCTTGGGCTTGACCTCCAAGGGGTGGCGAACCGACGGGTGGCCCTGGACTGGCTGGGAAGTTACAGGCCACGCCCTCTGACCAGGTCACACGACTCCACCCACGAGAGGTAAAGCGGCCGAGGCCACCCCAGTTCTACAGACGCGAACCACCCGTTGTCTGTGGAGCTGGACCGCTGGCTGCGCCCAGCAGAGGGCGCTCTCCCTTCCTGCCCACGGGGGAGGGCGGCTTCCTCGAGGGGGAGGGCGAGCAGCACTCGCCCGAGGAAGCAGGTTCACCCCCAGCCCTCTGCGCCCCCCTCACACACACTGCCCCCAGCCCTCTGCGTGGCCCCGGCTCTAGGAGGAAAACAAGTCATGCGGAATGAAATCTTTTACTAAGTGTTCAGTCTGTGCCTCCTGCGTGGGCGTGTGTGTGTGTGCGCGTGTGTAACGAGCCTCCCAGCCTCTACAAATGCTACCCCCAGGCTCCCCGAGACCCTGACAAATGAGCTCAGGATCCACCAGGCACCCTCTTCCCTCAGAGCCCTCCCTACACGGAAGTTCAGAAGGAACCCCAGGCCGCAGGCGGGCGGGCGTTCCTCCCCAGTAAAGGCAGACAGGGAAAGCCTCAGGTTTGAAGCCTCTTTAATTTGTGCCTCAGAATCAGTCTGGTGCCCCTGGCATCAGGGAGGGGGTAAGAGGAACCGTTTCTCTTTGTTCTTTCCTTCCATCCCTTTTGTGTCCCTTCTGAACCTCCCGGCTGAGCCAGGAAGGCCCGTCAGAGAGAACCTGGGTCAGGGTGTGCCATGGGCCCCTGCCCCTGGCAGGGTCTGTGCTTCTCTTGGTGGGTGGGGTGGGCGGGGAGAGCCGGGGGTTAGCACCATCGGATGAAGGGTTTTAGAATCAGCCCCTGGGAGGGGGCAAGTGGGCGCACAACCACGGAGGGCTAGCAGCAGCTGGTGGGACGGGATGGGTGGTGGTGCCTGGGCCTTGGGCAGCCCCTCTGCATCCAGTCTAGTGTAGGGTCTAGAGCTTGCCCCCAGCCCAGTATGCCCCCCATTTGCCAGAACAGCATGTGGGAGCCAGGCAAGCCCAGGTGTGGGGGGCCACCTTGGGCACCCTCCCTGATCACAAAAAAAAAAGTCTTGGGGAAGGGGTCTCCAACCTCTGGCTGCCCAAATTGAAGCTGGGACCACCCTGAGACCTGGGAGGGGTGTGGGGGCTGGGGGAGCTGGGCACCCCGCTAAGTGCACTTGACGCTGAAATGCTGGAGTGGGGGAGGGGCTGGGCCCTAGACGTGCTGGTTTGCGTCTGGAACAAAGCAGCAACACAGCACTTGGGGAGCTCAGCTGCCCCCAGGGGTGAAGAGCGGAAATGCAAAGGCTTCACAGGCAGTGTCCGGGGGTGGGGTTAGTGAGCAGGAAGTAGGGCCAGCCAGGAGCAGGGCTGGGGACACTGCTCCTCTGAGGACTGGTCTCCCGCTCAGGACCGCCTGGCTCTGCCCTTGGACAGGGGAGAGGGCTGAGGGTCAGTTACAGCAAAGCAGGGGGACCAGGCCGAGCCAGCTGCCTCCTGGCCTGGCCATGCTGACCTCCTCCTGGTCTGGTGCCTGGTGCATCCCTACGCCCCCAAGGCGGTGGCTCTGGTCTCCAGCCACAGCGCCTGTGCCTGGGCCAGGGCGTCTCGCTCCGGTGGGGCTCCATGGCGTGGCCGGAGGCCGGACAGCGGCACTACTGCTCGGTCAGTGAGAGCCTCAGGATCCGCTCCAGTTCCTCCTCCTCCTGGCGCGCCCGTCGCCGCCGCTCCTCCTGCTCCTGCGCGGACAGCTCCATGGCCAGCCGCAGCTGCTCGTCGTAGCTCCGGAACACGTGGCTGCCAGGGCTGGGCCGAGGGCTGGGCCCCGCTATGGGGGCGGCGGGCTGGTGCTGTGGGGTGGGCGGGTTGCTCCTGGGGGCAAGGACGACACATCCAGGGCTCCGGGCGCAACTGAGGGTGAGCGGGGCGGGAGCCAGCATGGAGGCCCCAGGACCGAGCAGTCCTGCCACCCTCAGTCCTGCTCACCTCCCTGGCTCCCACCCGGTGTGGCAGATCCCAGTCCCTACAAAGCCCGTCCTCCCAGGGGGCAGCAGCCAGCACATGTGGGCATCTTCTAGAACCCTGGCCCCGACACCCGGCCTGGTGAGGGTCTGGAGGCCATGAGGCCTGGCCCCACACCGGCCACTTTAGGAGTACTGCTCACCCACCCCCTGAGCCAGAAAAGGCTATGGTAGAAACCATCTTGATTCCGATAGGTCCCTGGTGAGGGGACCACAGTTCCTCTGGGCCAGGAGGGCTGTTCAGTGGGCTGTGTCCTCACCCCGTGACAGGGTCTTGGGGTTTGTTGTGCGTGGGGGGGTGGGCATCTCCCAATCCTGGTGGCCACTGACCTGTCCTGTCGGCGACCCTCGCAGGACACGGGGTGAGTGCCCGGCTTGCTGTTGGTTAGCGCCTCCCAGATAGTGACCTGGAGGGAGAGGGCGGGGCCAGTTGGCTATCGTGGCACCGCAGTCAGGTGGCCCCGTGCGTCCAAGGGGACGAACCTGGTCATACTCACTGCCTGCCTCAAGCAGGCTCTGCTGGATGGCAAACTGCAGCAGGTCGTCGTCATCGTCATGGGTCGCGGCCTCCCGCTGGCCACCCAGCACGCTGTAGCCCCGTGGGGCCTCGAACAAGGTGGGAGAGATCTCGCATCCACGGCAGGAGGCTGCGGGCAGGCCGAGGTCAGAGTGGCTCCCCAGGAAGGGGACGAGGGCTCTGGAGAGGGGGCTGGGCGAGCGAGCTCAGAGGGGGCAGGGCTCACTTGTGGAACTGGAGCTACTGACGCTGGAGGAGTCGCTGCCAGGGGAAGGGGTCTCGCTGCTGGGGCTGCCTCGCACCGAAGGCACGGGCTCGTCGCAGCCATTGAGGTTCCCGAAGGTGATGCGGGCGTTGAGGATGTGGAAGATCGGGATTTCTGAGGGTGAGGAAACCATCAGGTGCCACCACCCACCCCCTCACACTGTAGACCCCCACTCTCCCTCATCTAAACCCACCCCCAGCCCCACAACAGCAGCCACGGGGAAGTGGGAATGGGGGCTCACCAATCTTGACAGGGAAGCCAGGAGGCAGGCGCAGGGTAATGAAATCCCGGAGCTTGGCGAAAAGCGCATTGCTAACAGCCATGAGGTCGATGATGGGAGCTACCTGCTCACACAGGGACAGGGGATGCTCCTCACAAAGCCACAGCTTGGCCTTGAACCTGCCGCCCCAGGATCCCAAGGGGTGAGGGACATTGTAGGAGTGATGCTCCCAGAACCTTCTGGAGCCCCTGGCCCACCTCCCCGGCCGTCCTGCCCTGCCCACCCCTCCCTAGCAGCAGCAGGGGTCTCACTTCTGTGTCTTGGTGGTCAGTTCCATGGGGCGGCCCATGTCACGGTTGCCAAGCTCAAAGTTGGGGTTGAAGTACTCTTCTGCGGTGATGGCAGTGGGGTTGGCTCGGCTCAGAGTCTGGGTGATCAGGGTCTGTACCGCATGGGGAGGGGCCCATGAGCCCTCCGCAGCCTCTGATGCCAGGCCAGCCATGTGTATGACAGGCCCAGAGCCATCCCCACTGCCACTGTGGAGCTGGCACGGTCTTGGGCACCGTGGAAAAGAGGTCCTCGCAGGCACACTAAGCAGGACACCTTCCAGGCCTTCTCCTGAGCCACATCCATACCTTCCCACCAAGGGGCACCCCTGGCCCACACTCACCCCATTTTGGGGGCCCCCGTGCTGCTCAGCAATTCCCAGGAAGGACTGCAGCGGCGTCTTGCAGCCTGTAAGAAACGTGGCTTCTTGGAGGACACTGCAGCCCTCGGAAGTAACGGCACCCAAGTCCGAGGCGGGAGGCTGGTTCCTGGGGGCGGGGGGCTGCTTATCCACACCAACATCCAGGCACCTTCACCTGAAGGGGCTGAGACGCGGGGGGCGGGGCCAGGGCCACTATTAGTCTAGCTGGCATAGAACGTAGGCCTCGGGCTCAGGGTAAACTTCCAGGGTCACTCTCCAAGTTGATGACACTGGACAAAAAGTACCTGCTTTGGTGAAGAGTTTTGGAATATGCATGCGCATGTGTTTTCTTTCAGGCACTTCCATGTTCATTTGTTCTCCTGTGAGGTAGGAATTATGTCTCTCTGCTTTAGACACAGTAAGTGATGCCCAGAAAGTCAGGTGTAGTATCAACGGGCACAGAGAATCAGTGCAGGGCCCCTGACTTTCTGCCTAGGCTATGTCTCACCAGGCCAGAAGGGCCAACAAAGAGCAGACATGACCCTTCTCTCCCTGCCCAA